ACCTGTGTCTTAGGAGCTGCAGCTGTATTGAGCAGCCAGAACCCCCAGGGGTTCACCTCTTTTGTTCTTCTAAATCCAAGAGTCACAAAAAACAGAGAGAGCACAATTTGGAGGAAGTGGTGGAGCAAAGTGAGGCTAAGATCAGCCTTGTTGTTGTTGTTGTCATCTTTAAGTAATTTTATAGATGAGTTTCATTTCATCATGTCAATTTATGAGTACAGTGCATCTTGATCAATGTCACCTCTTCCTAAATAAGACCTCTGTTGCCAATAGAACTTGAATCTCCTTGTCTTTATCACCTGATTTTAATACATAGTACTTTCAGAAAATGAGCCTATAAGCCCAGTACAGTGGTTCGGGCCTGTGATCCTAGGTACTCAGAGCCAGTCCAGGCAGAAAAGTCAGAGAGATTCTAACTCCAAAAATAACCAGCAAAGAGCTAGGCGGGAGGTGCAGCTCAAGTGGTAAGAGCACCAGCAAGGCTCTGAGTTTAAACCTCCATCCTGCCAAACATATATTTCTAGTAAATTTTAACTTGTCATTCGGGTCTTTGTCTCTGAACTTTCACCAACAGCTTGTGTTTCTTGGTGGCTGTAGACATGTTGCTTCTATTCAGTTCCTGGATGTGAGTGAAGTACGGTTTGATTTTATTGAAGTTTGTCGTTCTAAAACTTTGGGTTCCTACATTGCTGCTTCGGCTTTTATCTTTCTGAGGAGGTAACTGGAGTGTGGAAAGCAAGTGATACTTTTTAAGTGACACCTCTCCCAATCTCCCTCCCCCCCCCAAAAAAGGAGTTCCAATAATGTCTAGTGCAGGGAAATTGTAGTCATGGCCTTGGAATTTTCTTCTAAGCCAGGAAATGGCTGGGGTCAAAGGTTGCATTGTGCAGTAATGCCTCTGGCATTCTTAGGATGGCCTCTGGGTTAAAGACCCTTCCCTGGGAAGACTGGCGGTGAAACAAGTTTCTGTGTGTGTGCCTTAGCTCACATAGCTTTTTTCACCTCTGAATTTTCTGATTGATGGTCAAGTTTTTACAGATAACATTTCAGCTTGCTTAGAGATAATTGGGAATGTTTCTAAATAAACTATGCCTTGAACTTGGTCGTTCTTTGTTTTAGGTAATTCTTATGAGTCACTAGGATATATATTTTTTAATTTTACTGTCTCAATCATGCATTGTCTCCAAAAGGAATGTGAATCCCAATTTGGTAACTTAACTTTGTACCAAGAAATAAGTAAGCATGTAGTAACTAGGGGTATGTGTGTGTGTGTATGGGTGGATAGATACATGGGTCTTCACCCATGAAAATTAACCCAGGGAACTGGGGGAAAGAGTAACATATTGATAGCCTAGTTTTTAGGTTTCATTCTAAAGCAAAAGTGTATTTTTCTAAATTCAGGATGTTTCAAATGGTGGTATGGCCATTATACAACTTTATAACATTTCTATACGAATGTTAGAAACAGCAGAGCTGGGATGATTCCCTTGGAATACTTCTGTACACACATATACACATAAGTTATTAAGTGAGGGGCAAGAAAAGTAGAAGAGAAGACACCCATGGAATGTCAGGAGCAGACAGGAAAAAGGTACATAATACTGAGAAAAGGGGAATAATAAGAAACACAGGAAAGTGGGAAGATTTGAGTCTGTATTGGAAGAGAAAGATTTCCCCAACTCAGAATATTTACACTGTCTTGAAGAAAAGTGACATTCAAAAGGATTCTGTGCCAGGCACGGTGGCTCATGCCTTTAATCGTAGATATTCAAGAAGCTAAGATCTCAGGATTGTGGTTCAAACCAGCCCCATCAGAAAAGGCCATGAGACTCTCGTCTCCAATTAATCGGCAAAAATCCCGAAGTGCAACTGTGACTCAAGTGTTATAGCGCTAGCCTTGAGCAAAAAAGCTTAGGGACAACACCCAGGCCCTGAGTTCAAGCCCCAGAACTGGCACATCCTTAGAATCAGGAGCCTTTAGGAAGCTGGTGATTGATACAGAATTGTGTTGTACAAAACAATTCAGGGTTAGAATAGCAGCCAGCTGACATCTCTGTACATACAGCGTTGTTTTCCAAAGGATTTCCTTTGAGGGTGATGCCGGGGATCCAATTATGCTTGCGCAGCTGAAAAAAAAAAAGAGAGAGCAAAGAAAAGAAACACAGTGCTATTTTACAATTGTTAGTATTCAAGAGAAAATTTCAGCTGTGCCTGGCAAGCCATACAAAGCTGCAGATGTCTGCTCTTGGGCTGTGCCCGCCCACACGGTGCGCCTTTTCTGAAATGATGAGGGAAACCTGGTACTCCAGTCTGACTTAGGACTCAAACAATAAACAGGTGCTCTTTTAAGAAACAACCCACACCCCTGTTGTCAAAGGGAAGGTGGACCTCCAAAACTACAATGAATCAAACACTAGTCTCTATTCAGACATTCCTGGGGTGTCTTTTGTAGGCTTCCTTTATTTTCCTCCAAGGGAGACATGGATGAGGAAGGGGCAGGCTTACCTTTTCCCCAGGAATAAATACCAGCTTCTCAATACACTTCCCTTAGCTACAGGGCAGACAAAGTGGTATTATTGAATTTTAATAAGCATTTTTACTTTTCATGAAAATAAGACCGACAGGGTCAACTTTTACATCTGAACTTTATGTGCTGTGAAATATTTTGAGAGTATGATGTTCTATGGCTTCATTACTATAAATAGATCTCTTAGATACCAACTTGATTTCATAAAATCTATTAGAATGCGAATCAGTAACTAAAAGGCTGATACAAACCCTTAAATTTCCACCATGTGAGGAAGCTCAAAGCGTTGTGTTTAAAAGATACAAAGACATTGTATGTCTTTCATAAATCTTTTTCTTATCTTCACCCTTCAAGGAATTTTCTTAAGCCTGTGATAAACATTTTTTAAGACCCTGTAACAATCAGGGAGTGTATACCACTTTTTGAACTAATTTCCACTCTGTTAAACTTTTTAGTGAGAATCATTTCTGTAGCTCTGAACTTCTTTTCTCTCGAGTACTTATTTAGTTCCTATTAACAGCCCTATTGAAATTTGAAATTAACGTTTTTGGTGGAGGTTTTTGTTTTGGGAAAGTATTGGGGTTTGAACCCAGGGCCTCACATTTGCTAGGCAGATGTTCTACCACTTGAGCTGTACTTGAGCCATCCGGGAGTTTGAACTCAGGGCCTTTTTTGCTCAAGGCTAGCCACAGCTTTATTTTCAGCTTTTTGGTGGTTCATTGGAGATGAGTCCATGGATCTACCTATGTGCATCTCTCTTTTATTTACAGTTGCTTAACATGCTAATCTCTAGGGGAAATACTAGTCCTCACTAGGGGTGATAGCATGGTGGGAAATACTGAACAGCCCAGTATCCATCTTCCACTAGGTGAACATTAAAAGGGCTTCAGATCCACACAGCGCTGTTGAGGTCAACTCCTGAGAGCCGGTCACTACATTTTTTTAGGGATTTCTGGAACTAGATCTAAAACTTAGCCATTCCTAAAATTAAATTATATAAGCATTGGGGCTGGGAAGGTGGCTCAGTGGTAGAGCGCTTGCCTTGCATGCATGAGGCCCTAGGTTTGATACCTCAGCACCACATAAGCAAAAAGAAAAAAGCCAGAAGAGGTGCTGTGGCTCAAGTGGTAGAGCGCTAGCCTTGAGCTGAAGAGCTGAGGGACAGCGCCCAGGCCCAGAGTTCAGGCCCCACAACCGGACCCCCCCCCCAAAAAATTATATAAGCATAATATACAATATTTTAAAAACAAAAGTAATACTCAAAGCCTATTACTTCCTCGTGATTTCATGGCAGTAGAGCAATTTGTACTCTTGGCGTTGTTGCTATATTCCTGGGGTTTCAAATACGGTCAGCATTGGAACAGTCATCTGTCTGTCAGCAGACATCATGTAGGTGTTTGGCTTTCAGCAGGACAATAATTCATATACCTGCAGCTAGCTATCTCTGAAGAGACTTGCTGTGCTGAGGATTTCCTTTGAGGACAATGTTAGCAAATGCTACACATCAAACAAATTCAGTTATTAAATATTAGCACCCCACCAGACCCAGCCCATTTCTTTTTGCCTATGCGATTGGGGTCTAGAAATCACCAAAGTCTTGTAGCCAGCCAGTAATTATCAGGGCTAAGTCTAGTTCCTCCAGTGCCAGCTTTTTTTTTTTTTTTTTGTCAGTCATGGGGCTTGAACTCTGGGCCTGGACACTGTCCCTCAGCTCTTCAGCTCAAGGCTGCTGCTCTACCACTTGAGCCACAGTGCCACTTCTGGTTTTCTGGTGATTTATTGGAGATAAATGTCTCAAGGACTTTCTTGCCCGGACTGGCTCTGAACTGTGATCCTCAGATCTCAGCCTCCTGAGTAGCTAGGATTTCACGCATGAGCCACCAGTGCCCAGCTCCAACTTCTTATTTCACTCTTCAGAGACAGAAATCTCAAAAGGCACAAGGGACAGGGTTCCAGGTAGGCTGTGGGCACCTCTATCCTGCTTATGCTGACAGTCCTGCATAGACTCAGGTCATTCTTGACATGCTGGGCTAACACCAAGATGCAAGATGGGTGGGCCTCTGCTTTGGTACTGATCAACAAGGGAAACCGTGAATCTGGGGCCAAAGATGGGATCTTGAGCTCTCTCACTTGTGGTAATGCAGTTACTGAATGGAATAATGAATACACGAAGAACACTTACCATAACTTAGTAAAACATTGCAAACGCATATATTATTTTATTTCTCCTCCATGGAAATGTAAGCTCCATGGAGTATTATGTGCTGCTCCATATCTGGCTCTCAGAATAGCCCCAGCTGGATAGAAATTGCCCCATAAATATTTCTGAATGAATGAGGTGCTGCTACTACCACTTCTTGTTACTGATGACCCAACTCTCCCAGACTATCTCCAGTGGGGTCCAGCTCAGGAGCCCTCACATCCTTTGTCCCACTTCTCCACTTTAATGGCCACCATGTCTCTTGTCTCTTAGATGACGGAGGGCCGTCGATGTCAAGTACACCTTCTGGATGACAGGAAGCTGGAACTCCTGGTACAGGTAAGTCCCTTGGGGGCCCACTTTGTAAGTTTCTCCTGAGATTCATGTGATTCTGAGGTTGATTTGTTGGAGAAGAAGAGGAGGTCAAGTGTTCTTCAATATCTAGCTATGAAATCTGCAGAGACTGGGCTGGGGCACACCAGGGTATTGTGTGTGTGAGTTATTTTTTACTCATTCTCTGTCTCTGGACATTGCAGCTTGGGAATTTGCAAGGCCAGATGTATATCTAAGCTATTGTTAGGGTTCTTTAGGAAAGGAAATTCCATAAGTGCCTTGAGTTATTCTTCCTGCTTGGAAAGAGTGAACTGCCATATAATCTAATTCATAACTCTTGCTGGAAGTAAAAGTGACTGGTCACTCTTTGCTCAGAGGGAATAGCACACAGTCTACTTTTTTTTCAAATTAAAGAGACAAGGTATGTGCTCTTGGAAGTGTAAGTGCCTGTACTCTGACGCCATCATCACTGTTGAACATCTGGAAAAACTGAGACATGGGAAATCAACCAGTTTCTCCCCAAGCTGAGAATATGTAAGGGTCATAGAAGTCAGAATCACAGCCTCTGGACTTGCTCACCTTGTCCTTGAACAGCTGGCATTCTGAACCTTGTTTAAACAGCCTTAAAAGCTGTTATTTAGCTCCTGCTTTTACCATTGCGTTACTTCTCCTTTTGGTGGATATCTTTGCAGCATTTTTTTTCATATTTGCATTTCTTGCAATCATAATGCATGTGTAATTTTGTATGTTTTACTTTACCACTTAGTATTGTTTTTCACTAGCACTTTCCAAGTGACTATAAATTATCATCTTTGTTAAGAGCTGCATACATTTCCAGAAACCAATAACACTATTATTACCTAATCATTCACCTGTGTGGATTTGTTGAAGTATTTTGCAAAATAGTTTTTTCCAAATTTTCTTTAGACATATACAAAATGGAAAGACTAGTAGGCTTCAGCCAACCTTAGAAAAATGGAACTTGAAACTATTGGACAAAAGCCAGCTTAAATAGATGAATTGTCTTTCTCTTCTACAATATTCTGTTGTCCAGAACACCAAAGCAGTATTCTTTTTAAGGGCAGCCCCTATTAGGAATAAATGTTGTCATTAACTTATCCCTCTGTGTAGACTTTTGCATTAAAGATCAAGTCCTTATTAGGTTAGATCGTATAGCCTGCAGTCTTGTTAAAAGTCAGACTTGGTGTTTGGATTTGGGTGAGGGAAGCAATAAAGGTAAACTGTTAAGGAAGATCTCTTCAGTCCACAGAGTCTTTCTTTCACCAAACCAACATTAGATGCCTGACATTTTAAGACTCAGTGGGTGAGTTCATAGGTGATTAGTCTGCCTGGCATGTTTTGTAAGGTTTTCTTAAAGCTTGAGGCTTAGGACAAAGCTACCTTCGGGGATAAGAAATGAGACTTCAAATGACAATTTCATGGCTGTGGATTGGCCAGCTGGCCTTAGGAAAATATGAACGGGGATAGCTGATAGGGACTTAAGTCCCAGAAACACACAGAATTACTGATGCGCATAGTAGGGGGAGCAGTTTTCTTCAGTCCTATAAAATCATGAAAGTATTGGTCAAGCAAGAGCGACTCATGTTCTTGCCATGCTTTGTCTGACTGTCCTTCCCATGCCCCTGTCCCCTGTGTCTGGCTAATTTCACTGAGTTCTTCAGTTCCCTCCCCCACACCAGTGTTCTCTGATGCCTGGCCAGGCAGCCCTTTGTCCTGTGGTAATCTCCTACATGGCCATATACACCTCATTGTCATTGCTTCTGTACTTGTTACTGTTTTCCAAAGCCCTCCCCCACAAAATTTGAGGAATAAGTCTGTACCTGGGCCATTGTGATACTAGTGCTCAGTCCAGTTTCTGGAAGATGTCATTAAGATACATACTTGTTGAATGAAAAAAAGGAAAGTATGAGCCTCAGATACCTTGCTTGGTATTATTATTACATCTTTTCAGTATTTCTCACCATGGAACCAACTGTTTGGCCAGGAATTTGATTTGGCACACACGAATTTCTTTATACATATAGATATAAAAGGGAAAACTATTTTAGAACAGGCTTCAGCAAAACTTGGAGACAGCCGTTGGACAAAAGCCAATTTAAATATATGAATTGTCTTTCTCTTTTACAAAGTTCTGTTGTCCTGAATTCTAAATTAGATTTCTTTCTAAGGGTAGCCCCTATTCTCCAGCTCATTTGGCTCTATCTCTAGATTCCAATTGACTCCAAACATTTTGACCTCATGTCCTCATTTTTTTTTTGTATTAGCACTGGGGCTTGAACTCAGTTTTGTTTTTGTTTTTGCTCAATGCTGGAACTCTTCCACATGAGCCACAGCTTCACTTCTGCCTTTTTTTTTTATTGATAAGAATCTCAGGGACTTTCTTGCCCAGACTGACTTCGAACCACAGTCCTCCTATCTCAGTAGCTAGGATTATAGGCCTAGCCACTAGCATCCAGTTTCTGTGCCCTTATTTTAAATGTTCATAAAATGATTACCTTCAGATTCATTTCTACCTTAACTCTACTTTAGTCATCTGTATCAACTATTGAACTTGAGGTTGAGGACCAGTTCAGGATATTTGTTATCAGCTTTGGACTAAGCAGTACCTGTTGAAAAGATGGGGAGGGAGAGGAATGACATTTTCCATTATATTGACCTGACAAGGTTTGTCAGGTGGGATGCAGGTTTGGAAAAAGAGTTTGCCCCCACAGAAAAGTCGGGAACGGAGGAGTCTGGAGCTAGACAAACACATTGATAATTTAATGCAGTGATGGAACGCTGCCTTAACATTTCCTTTCTCTGGGTTATGGAGAAAATGGCCTTAATTCTCACATTGAATGTTTAGCCTGTCAAGCCCTTGGAGATTACTGAGTGAAACCTGTTCTTCCAAAACCTGGATCATCCCCGTAAATGGTACACTATTTGTAGTGGGGGAGGGTGGAAGGCAACGGAGTGTAGGCTAGGAATTAATCTAAATACACAGGCCATTTCCTGATATGTCATTTGTTTGTTTGTTTGATTTTCATTTGTACCAAGGTTTGTGCTCAAGTCCTTGAGCTTATTTGAGCTGATGCTCTACCGCCAGTTGAGCTTTAATTGCTGGTTATTGTGGTGATGAGTCTTATGGACTTTCTTCCCAGGCTGTCTTCCAACTGAGATCCCTGCAGATCTCAAGCCTCCTGAGGTAGATGAATAGTGTTAGCACAAGTCACCAGTGCCCTGTGCTCATATCTTCACCAGGTTGCTCCGTAAGTTCTTACATTCTACTTAAGGACAATTGGACAGATGATGTGTATGGAAGGCCAACCTGAAGTCTGTGATTTTCACTCTGTCATCTGAAATTGTTTACTCATGAGAACTTTAGTCTGAAAGCCTCCATGAAAAGTGAGAGGGGCCACCATCGTCTATGATTCCAAAGCTCTGAGCCTCTTCCTGAAGCTTTGGTAACAGAGGTGGAGATGGAAGAGCAATGAGCATTTTTATTTTTTATTTTTATTTTTGGCCGGTCGTGGGGCTTGAACTCTGGACCTGGGCACTGTCCCTGCACTCTTCAGCTCGAGGCAAGTGCTCTACTGCTTGAGCCATAGCACCACTTCAGGTTTTCTGGAGGTTAATTGGAAATAAGAGTCTCATGGACTTTCCTGCCTGGGATGACTTCGAACCAAGATCCTCAGATCTCAACCTCCTGAGTAGCTAGGATTACAAGTGTGAGCCAACAGCACCTGGATAGCATTTATATTTTTATCAGCAAAGGATTTGAACTCAGGGCTCTCTACTGCTTACCCCACACCTTAGTACCTTTTGCTTTTAGGTTATTTTTCTGATAAGGGCCTCACATTCTTGCCTAGACCTGCCTCTGACTGGGATTCCCTATGTATGACTCCCATGTAGCTGAGATCACAGGTGCATACCACCACACCTGTCTCTTTTATTGAGATAGAGTCTCACTAACTTCTTGCCTGGAGTGAACCTCTTAACCTTGAACCTCCTATTTCTGCCTCCTGAATAGCTGGGATGATATGCGTGTGCCGCTCTTCCCAGTTCCTCATAAAAATTAGAATGGATTTCCACTAGACTGGAATGGCATCATTCTTATGATCTTCCCTGAAGGTATATGATATATACTGTATAAGGCCCTGTTTTCCCAGAAGACAGGCCAGCAGGAGAAAATACTTTTCTTTCCAATCCTTGGACCACCTTCTCTGCTTTTTTGTCCACCATTTTAGATGGCAGAAGTTCCTCCCTCTGTGATAAAGCTTTGACCCACTGCAGTCTTCTCCATTTACACAACTTCCTGCCATCACCTACCTCACTTCCTGTTTGGCTTAAGAAGCTGATCCATTCTGGGAGGCTGTGTCTTAAGCTCCAAGCTGTCTGGGGATGGCTGTGTCTCTTCCCTCTGATGTAGTCTATGGCCACAGGACATTCATAACTGCTCACTTCTAGGAAAACAGAGGAACAAGGTATCTCCACAATTCTCAGAAATGGGACACAATTTAAGTAATCAGTGTTTTCCAAGAGAATTCAAGATAGTAAGTAGATGACTGCTGGAATTACATACTGTCCCTAATCTTGCAAAGGCCACTGGAACAGAAGTATCAGGCTGCTGGGCACTGTGCTTCATGCCTGTAATCCTAGCTGTCAAGCAGATGGAGATCTGAGGAGCTTGATTTGAAACCAGCAAAGGCAGAAAATTCCATGAGATTCTTATCTCCACTTAAGCAGCAAAATGCCAGAAGTAGCAGTGTGCCTCAAGTGGTAGAGTACCAGCCTGAGTTCAAGCCACAGTACTACCTACCCACCTCTTTCCTCCCAAAACCCAAGCAACACTCCAGAGGTGTTCAGTGGTGACAGAGAGAACACACCAATGTTAAAGGTTTCATATTTTTAAAAAAACTTGGTGTTTTACTAATGATTTTTAGGTTGCTGATTCTATGTTGAAAGGTTAATATTTGGGTATTTTAGGTTGGAGGAATCTGTATATT